CCTACTGGGGATGTGCCCGCAACCAAGGTACATGCCCTTGACCGGAATCGAACCTGGGACCTTTCAGTCCGCAGGCCGACGCTCTATCCACTGAGCCAAACCGGTTAGGGCGGCATGATAAATTTCTTGTGGCACCCCCTCATTATCTGTGGAAGGGTCTGACACGGAAGGAAACTCATGCCTTGAGACAATGTTGCTCCAGGCCAGCGCCCCCTGTCTCTCACAAATCAGGAGAATGCCTCTCTCCCTCCCGCAAGCAGATGAGGATGCTGATGGTGGAGCCCAGGGGAGGCTCCAAGAGTCAGAGACATAACTAGATTCTGAGGGTTTGTCCAAGGGAGCCCACACTAGGAGGCTGGAAGGGAAGAGAGAGAAGAGGAAGAGCATTATAGGGGCTGGGGGTGGAGGAGGGCCAAGGGTGGGTTGGTTCATTCGTGCGTTTTCTTTCAACATAAATTCAGTCTTCCACTTTCCATAAATGTAAAGAGATTCAGCCTAGGATGAACAAATCAGTTATCGATTTTCAGCAAGGTTTGCCCATAATGTTGCAATTTGCTTTTTATCTTTCCACTGGACAATAGATCTTGGACATCTTTCCATTCCATTCCTTTATAAGGCAAAACAGTATCCCATTTTATGAATGTACTGTACTATTTAACTAGTGTCCTATCAATGAACGTTCTGGTTGTTTCCATTCTTTGTTGTTATCTTTACAAACAATGTCACAAAGGGCAACCTTCTACCTTGTTACTATATATTTACTTATAGGATAAATTCCTAGCAAAAGAATTTCTAGGTCAAAGGGCATGTGCTTTTAAAATACTGACAGGCTCTATGCATTGATCTTCAGAAACGTTACTTCCAGTTCCACTGCAGGGGGTAAAAGAGAGCAGATCCCTGGCCTCTCCCTCCATCTGTCTCCTTCACCTGCTCCTCTAGCCCTGAAAACATCCGCCTCCATCCGTCCACCCTGCTGACTGTTCACACCAACTAGGAATTCGCAGCAAGTTCTCCAGGGACTCTGACCAATGATTCTACCCTGAGTCGCACCTAAAAGCACCAACCGAAAAACCTAGTCCTTTTTGAACCCAAACCAAATAGAATACAAATAAGAGAGAACTGTTTTAAAATACTGTCCAAGTGCTTGAGAAGGATATACCCCAAAAAGGGAAAAGATCCTCTCGGCTGGAAACTGCATTTTGCAAATGATGAGGCAGAGACGTTGACCGGGGGCTGAGATCCAGCGTGTGCTGTACTAACCGACCAGAGGGGCATCGTTTTGTAAATGTCCATCCAAAGGGGGCGCCTTCTTCCAAGGCCCCACCTGGGCCCGCTGAGGCCCTGGAGGAAGGTCCTTTTCTGAAACTTTGGCTTGTGTGAAAAATCCGAATGCAGCCGTATGTCGAGTGATGCATTTCTGTGCTGCTTCGCTTCTCTGGACGGGCCCTGATGCTTCGCGGGCCAAGGCCTGACTCCCAGACACTCCCCTGGCATCTTGATTCACAACCTGCAGTCACAGACTGATGTCGGGGTACATGCTGAGGGCCAGGCCCGGCCTAGTAGTACAGACTCAGCACAGGACACGGAAATGGCAAACATCTGGCCCAAGGCTTTGGGGGTTTTTAGTAGTAGGTCTGATTACCCAAAGAGGGACAACATGTCCATCTGCGAAGCAGCTTTGTCATTTGAAAAGCTGTTCATTCCAGCCTTGGGTTCTTGTTTCTGGTGGCCTGGGCACTGGCTGGCCTGTAGGGTGAGCCTGCCTCAGGTGAGCCCAACTTAGCTGGGATCTTTTTCCACCTTGGGATGTGGCCACGCCTCTGAGGGTCACCCTCGTCGAGGTTGGCACTATCTTTCCAGAGCGGGTCCTCCCCCAGGACTCCGGGCATCTCAGGGGCTGGGCCTTTACTACCTGAGACCAGGGACAGCCCCCTCAGCTTCTGCCCAAGGAAAACTTTCTAATGATCACAGATACACACAATGTGCTGGTGGGCACTTGGCCACAGCAAACCCTAGGGCCATCCTTTCCCTCCTCGCACAGGTCATGGCAGGCCCAGGGATGGGGAAGTCCAAAGCCAGCTGTAACCCCAGCTGCTCCATAGCCTGCCGCTGGGAGGCCAGCGTGCCCGATGTAAACGTCCGTAAGTGGAAGGACCAGACACTCGTAAGTAGCTTCTTGCCTCAATCCCACTAACAGTGAGACTTGGTTCTCAGATATGTGAGCAGCACAGTAAACTCTCCTTAGCTCTGTCTGCAGCCTGACTTCCCCGGCCTGTAAAATGGGCTTGTGTACCCTGTCCTTCCCTCTCTGCCTCCCAGGGTCAGGACCAATGAAGTGCCATAAATGAAAAGGCTTTGTAAAGGGCTTTGTAAGCCAGTGTGCTTTTCAGACACTGTGATATAATGATGATGAGTCCATCAGATCGCCCCAGCCCCTGGGTGGCAGTGATTGGTGGGACGGACATAAACACAGCCAGCTCAGCTGTGGAAGGAGACTTGCCTTTCTGCTGCGTGTGGCTGAGCACTGAGTCTGGGGCTGCTGCTGGCTATGCCCCATGAAGAGAGGAGTGTTTGGTGGAAGGAGACAGAAGCCCTCACTATGAAGCTTGAGCGCCAGGATTCAGCTAAGCCTGAAACTAGTGAACTCTGAGATCTACTGTTACAGAACCAATTTCCCTTTTTCGGTAGGATAGTTCGATTTGAAAGTCTGACATCAATGACTGGGGGAACTCCAACTATCTCTTGGGTGCATTTTAATTATATAT